GCTCTATACACGGGGGATCTGAAGCATTGCCCCCCACCCACCCCCACACACAAGCACGATGGCATGTTTCTGGACTAAATCATAACCGTATTTATTTCTTATCACAATGGTGTTTGGTCCTGGCAAATTTGCTTTGTAGCTTTTGTTTTGTTGTTTGTCCTCATTGTGTATCTACACACATTTAGCTGCTGACTTCTTTGGCTTTTATGAATTCTAGGTGGAGTCTAGAATATGAAAGATGAAGGCACTGCACATGGGTGAGTCTGGGGACCCTCTCCCCTAGTGAATCCTTCATTCCAAGCTGGTAAGGGGGAAATTGGCAAAGCCTAGCAATCCCACGAGTACTTTAAATACAGTCTTGCTTGTTTATTCTACTTATGCAAATAAGCATATTTTTAGTTTTCAAAAGCACACTATCTCATTTAAGTTTTACAACCACCTTATTCAGTCTTTTTGGTTCAACTTTAGATTTGTATTAGTACATGTTTGTAGCACATAATGATCACATTCCTTGTGAGGAGGCAGTATAGGTACAAAATACACAGTTATTCCCCCACCCCCAATCCCTTGGTCCCCTTGCCTTTTGCAAAAAAATTTATCTCCCTACTCCCTATTATCTATCATTTGTTTTGCTCTTTATATTTTGGATTTCTCATATAAGAGAAACAACATGATATTTAACTTGTGTGATTTAGTTCACTTAAAATTATGATCTCAAGGTGCATCCATTTTCCTACAAATGATTCAAGTTTATCCTTCTTCATGGCAGAATAGGACTGCAGTGTGTATAAACACACTTTCTTTATTCATTTATCTATTGATGGACACATAGGCCACTTCTAGGGTTTAGCTATCATTCGTTTGTTCTTTCATTTACTCACATGGGCATGCATACATTTCTTCATCCAACAAATGCTTATTGAGAGCCTATTACTTTTCAAGCATTGTTCTAGTAGAAGACACACAGGATTAAGGCCTTCATGATGTAGCCATGGGATATTACTGCTTGCTCCGGTAGATAATTCAATTGTGACCCCCAGAAGTTGTATAAGTTGTCCAACTTCACGCACTTATTGTACAACAGGGCTAAAAGCTTGCTCTATCCTCTTCATGCTGACATGATTAGCAATGTTTGTTAAATTAATAAATAATTTACATTTGCATTATGGTTAGTTCTCACATAAACTGACATATCAGATACTCTTAACATTAGAATGAGTTGATTCAGTAGTATAGGTGGAGCATGATTCCAGGTAAATAGTCATATTACCTCTGTGCAGCATAAATACTATGATAATCAATGACAATAAAAATCAATTTGAAAATATATGAATCATTCTTCCATTTATATTTTTAGTGGAATAGCTAATTAGTATAAGCTGGTTGGGATTATTTTGCCTTGCACTCAGTAGGAAAACTGTCATGAAAAAGTGAAAACATCATTCTTAAGAACGAGAAGCTTCTATGTGGCAGAATACCAGGAAAAGGCAGAGAAGCAAGTTGACTTATGCAGGAAACAAGAGAGGACGATGGAGGTCTCTCACCCTCACCCCCTTCATGCTGCACATCAAGTGTCCTCTACATATGCAGGACTCTCACTGCTAGTGGGAAATTGCTCCATCGCTAGGAGACTAAGGAGTTGGACAGGTGGTCACCATTTGCCTTCCCATTGCTCTCGGTACCTGGGTTTCATCAGGCGCCTTACAGTTTCCACAACGCTGTAAACTGGAGAGTGCATAGTCTTCATCTTAGATATATTTGCCTGAGAAATTCAAATCTGTGCCAATTCATTTTAAGGTGTAATCTAGATGGGTGGGAGTCTTGGTAGAGGGGACAGTCAGTGTGCAGAATACATAACATAGTCCTAAACTATATTTTTAAATTAAGAATTTTTTCTGTCTCTTTGTTGCTCACAATTTTGGTTTTGTATTATTGAAAAAATAGGCAGAGACAGGAAGTCTGTAAGAATATGCAGTTCACATATTCTTATAGAAATAATGTAAAATAGAAAGGGATACAGCCACTGGCAAATGGCAGTGAGTTGTGGCTATTTTATTATTAGATATTAGGACTTATTTAACTACTAAGTGCTATATTTGGCCTAAGGACTGTATAGGTGCAGTTTAAAATTTTCCTCTTAAAGAATAATCTTATTCTGACTCTATAGACAACTTCCTCTAATGACAAGGTAAATATTATGCTTAGGCTAATACACATTTTTAAACAGATCACCCCTTGATTCTAAATCCTTCTCAGAAAAGCACTTTGAAATGAGATTTTCAAAAGGTAAGATCATAAAGAGAAGCAGTGACAAGAGGTGTCCTGTTTTTGGTGTTCATTGTCAGTGTCTGACCTTCAAACATATGGAGAGGAACTGGATTTGTCAGCTGTACCTTCCGACATAAACTATGCTGAACACATGGCCTCACTGAAAATACTGCAGGGAACAGTTCTCTGAGTGCCATCCATCATCTCTCTCCACAATGACATCTCACTGCAAAAAAAAAAAGGTGGAAATAGTTGCAATGAGGTGCTGAGTTGATGGAGAATAAAAAAAAAAGTTAACTCGGTAGCTCATAAAAGGGTCATTGATGCTTTTCAATGACACTGATGTATTTTGGGTGTTATCCAGGCACCAGAGACTCCACAGAAGCAAGAGCTTTGTACACACAAGCAGAAGGGCAGAAGGGAACATCTGCCTCTTTCCTTGTGACTTTTCCAATTATACAGTGGATGATCAAAAAAAATCTGGTTAATGGATGTTCAAAACTCAATAGAAGACATTGCCATTAATCCCCCCGAAATCCTTCCCCTTGCTTTAAACACACTTATCCCATTGTTCTTGTCACTTTCTGAAGCAGTTCTGGAAGTTCTTTTTCTTGAGTGTCTTTTCCAAGTGTGATCACAAATGCGGTGAATGCTGCTGCCAGCCAGTGGAAAGGCAGTCTCAAAACCATGACTGTGTGACCGCGTCCACCTTACTCATGGGATTTGGTACCATGTACATTTGATGCTTCTCTAAAGTCAAAATTACCATGAAAGGTAAACATTTTGAATCAGTTCAGAACCCCAAGGCACCCATAACAGCACAACTAAAGACCCTCAGAGAAGAGGGCTTCGAGAACTGCTCCAGAAAGTGGCAAAAACAACAGAATGTGGGATTAATGGCAATGGCTTTTGCTGTCATTTCATTTTACTGAACTACAGACTGTGTTCTTCAATCACAACTTGTACTTGAGAAACTTCTAGTGACAAAGGAAATCTATCCAAATATATTTATGAAAATAAGTTTTAATGTCCTACTGTGGATTTTCCTATTTGTATAATTTGCACATCTTGGTAACAGATTTTAAAATATTTTGGTCAATATATCATGCTTTAGATATTTAATGGATATGAAAAAAATATTATCTCCTTTTAGCTTAAAACTGAATATATAACTTTACTTTTGGCATTTTGGGGTACGCCAGATATTATATTTTATTTTATCTTATGGAAAGTAAAAATATTTTTCGGTATTTTGTGCAATTTCTTTTTAAATAGTCATTACATACCATCAATGTATTTTCTTTTAAATGAGTCTTTACATACTTTCGAGGTAGAGATCAGTACAGGCACTCCTTCTTTAACTACCGAGTTATGTTCCTGAAACTAGGTCATTAATCAGATTGGTCATTAACGAGGAATTGTATGTACTATGTACATTGCAATGCTCAGAGCAAAGAAATGGTCAAAGGAAACTACAACTTGATGACTTTGCTTTTATTTGCATAACTCTCACATGCAGTACTGTAATGTATAACATATGTATAACATAACTATTGTACTGTACAGTACAATCAGCAAAAATTACAATACTCTATGAACAAGGTGAACTGACAAGGCTCTATCAACAAGATGTACAGAACTGTACAGAAAAAGAATGAGCATAAACCCAAATAGTACGACTCTGTTGTAAGTCTGCATGGTTTTTAAATAGGTAGGACACTTATCAAGGAGTTATCTGTTTATCAAATGAGACCAAAAAGTCAATAGCAAATAAACTGAATGTCAAAATTAGAAGGAATTACAGTATTCAATGCTTGTACACACATCTTTTTTCCCTCTGCAGATGACCTAGTAGAAAAACTATGAAATGACCGGAGATTACAATTATTATATAGCTCACCTTCTCTATGCCCCTTTCCTTATAAATTGCTTTATATCTATGGGTCACTTTGTGCATACTCATTAATTCTATTTTCCAATGAAGTAAAAAATATAACTAACTCTGCAATCAGGTAGGCATCAATTTAAATATTTTACTGAGGTAACAACATCATATTAAGTCCAATCCAAATAAATTTTAAGTCCTGATTATAATACTTTTGTATTTCCCCTGGCTCAAGAGTTGCCAATACACCTGAGTTGGTAGAAAGTATATATTTAGGCAAAAACACTGATGTCAATCTCTTTGGTTATTTCCATATATATCAATCTAACCACTGTCCTGTCTCTCATGGTCAAGTTTTCTATTTGAGTCATTACTAGAATGGACGGTGATCCAGAGAGAGCTGTGAATAATGGAGTAGGGAGAATGGTGTTTGCAGAATCATTGATCCAGTGTGCACAGAGTCCATACTGAATGAATGACCCAAATTACTCTTTTAGGAACAATTCACAATCTACCTAAGTAATAAGGACTTTGAGCATTGCTTCTATTTTCTGCAGAATCCAAGCTTTGCTTAACTAGAGGACAGCCAAGGGCACTTTGAGTCCTTTTTTTTTTTTTTTTTTTTTGAGTCAGTTTATTCTCTTGACTTTGCACGTATTCAGTTAAGTAATTATACAGTCAAAACAGAATGAGCAAGTCATCAAAAGCTGGGAAAGTTTGAGAAATTCAGAGTCTGGCGGAGTCTAAGTACACATGAAAACTAAAAGTAATGTGGCACCTTGGATAGGATCCCAGAAGAGAAAGAGGAGGGGAAGATTAGGTAAAATTAAGGAAATGCAAAGGCACATGAAGTATGGATGTTATTTATTAATAATATAGCAATATTGTCTCATTAGTAATGACAAGTGATCTGTTGTTATATAAAATATTAGCATTGGGAGAAACTGCATGTGGGCAATACAGAATTCTCTGTGATTTTTCTATAAAATATACATTTTTAAAATAAAAAGTTTATTACAAAAAGATAAAAATGTTCCACCCAAGGATGACAATATGATGGGAGAAGATTTTGTCTATTCAAGTAAAGCAGAACTAACATAAATTATTTTAATGAGAAAAGTAAAAAATGAGGGTGTCATAAATCTTTGTCCTCTTCTCTGAGCATCCCTCTCTGCATTCTTTCAAATTATGCTACTTTTCAAATATGCTGGTGACTCAGGACAGATATGGCTCATATTTAATGCCCCCCAGCACAGAGATGACTCAGGAATAATCCAGCGCTTCCCTCACCCACACGGTCTCCCCACCCACAGTCTGCACCATCACTGTTCCTGGGGTGGATGCAAGGTGGCTGAGCTAGGAGGCACCAGACTGAAGAGGCCAAGTGCTCCCTGGTGGTCATCTTCAGCTGCCAACGAGACTCTAAGAGGCTGCGTGAATAAATGGTCCCCTCTGCTTTCAACCTTCAGGACAAACGGGAGAAAAACACAGTTCTGATCTACAGAAGTTGAAAGAAAAAAATAGCAGCATCATGAGTGCCTTTAACTCTGCAGACTTCCACCTCTTGTGAAAACTGACTCCAAAAAAGAGATTATTTTAGATAGTCAATTTAACCAGCCTAAAACTACCTAAAAGTGGAGAAGTTGGACAAACATCATTCAGGTGGCAGCTGTGCCACCTTCCAAACATAATTTGGCATAAACTGGTTTCCTAAGTAAGGAAATATGAAGAAAGACCAAATCCAGATACCCCTCATCTCCTAACCAAGATTATTCTCTAATCTTTTCTTCTTAAAGGAGGAAGTGAGACAATATTAATGCAAAGTTTCACTTACTTTAGGATGACTTTATATCTGCAAGTGTCACTCGGAACAGGATGTATAGTAAATAAAGGGGAGGATGCCTTCTAACTCCTCCATCAGAGTCACTATGTCTGTCTTTTAGACAAACTTCCCTTCCTGTCTTTCAAGTTTTACCTTTCACTGTTATACCCTCCAAAGCACCCATGCTAGCAACACCAGTCCTTCCTCTCCCTTCCCGGGCATGGCTCCTTCAGTTCTAGGATTTCTTAGGGAACTTAGAGAATGGTTTGGGATACTTTTCTCATAATTCCTCATAATTTCTTTCAGCTCTGTGAGAGCATGTTGGACCACATATCAAATGTTATACCATAGGCTGAAAATTTCATGAAGCAAAAGTATTCTTTTCATATTATAACATTTCAAACAATGACGTTTTATAACATGCAAACCCTATAATTATCAATAGGCACAAATGTGTTTGTGATATTTTGATTTATAGCATCCGCAATTAGGTTGTTGAAAATACAGGTATATTAGTTGCTCTGATGTTTTTATATATTTCCCATATTGTGCACAAAGCAATGTTGTAAGCCATATCTTTGCTTATCTATATCCTCTAGGGGTTTCTGGCCATTTTTCTCCTAATAATCAACTAGGGTGCCCACAGATACTTTGGGCCCACCCCTAGGGATTTCAATTAGATGAATCCAGAGTGTAGACATCTGCATTTTAACAAATACCCTAGGAAATTCTGAGGCAGATAGCTAATGGAGTGGAGTGAGTTTTTGGAAATCTCACTTCTCTCTGACACTTTTGCAAGACCTAAGGTAAGGGAAAATTCAAAATATTTTCCAAAGAGTTTTACTTTAGGTCAAAATGCACTGAAAAATTTTTAAAAATCAGAAGCAAAAACACACTTATTTTTCTACCATGAGCAACATCTCCTGGTAGGAACAATCTCTCTGCTTTCTCCACAGTGGCCTTCTGAACAATGATTGAGGCAGGAGGGACCCAAACAGAGCCCACCTGATCCTTAGTTTTCAAGAGATGCAAATCAAAGTTTGGGGATACTTAGGTGACTGAACCTTAAAGGGACAGAGTTCCAGAAACAAGGGTCCATCAGAAGAATATCACCAAGTCTGTGTAGGGTCCTTTTAGGATTTGTTGAGGAAAAGGCTGTGTGTGTATAGCATTAACATTAGCATACAACATCATTTAGCATACAACACCAGGTAAAGAAGAGCTAGAGAGTAGCAGCTGAACTGTTCCCACAGCTGAGTGAGAGTCACCAGTCACCTTGGGGCGCTTGGTGGTGCCAGAGGAGTCATACCCAGCAGCAGGCTGAACTGTTCCTGAAGTGGGTGACATCATCAATCTGCTTAGGCAGGCTACTTTGACCACCTCAGCTGACTTCAAAACTAGATCTCAAAAGGATGGAGCTGATCCACGAGTGATTTCTGCCTGTCTCTGTACTGTTTCCTGTGTAACACAGTAGCCTGCTCCCTGCCCCACCCAGAAATGATATTCTCCATGTTTTCTCTAATAAAATCCTTTCATGTTTAGGGCAATAGAATGAATTTTGTGTCTGAAACTAAGAAATCAACCATACACCCAACTATTTCACCGTTAACTTTGTGCCACAGCTGTTTCCATGGCTTTGAATATTTGTGTTTTTCGTACTTTTCGACATTGGCACAGAGTTGCAGAGTAACTTTCAGCCATCCTTTAAGATCATGATCCAATATTGTCTCCTCCATGGAAATTTGTATTTCTTCTTCAGAACTTACAACAATTTCTTCTGCTTTTATTTTTCCATAACACTGTGCTTAGATGCCTTTTGGGTCTTGTGTTCAGGATTTGAGGTCTTTTTATCATGGCCAGTGGACCCTTAAGGTGTGGAGGAACACCCCAGGGACCAGCAAAGGGGCAGATAGATGGGCACAGACACATTTCTCAACAGTTGGCATATGATATATATTTTAAACCTTAGAGCAATTATACACTTTAAATATCATTATTATCTCTGATTTGTAAGAAAAGAAAGCAAAGCAGATTTTTCAGAGAGATTTTTAGAATAAATGAATAATGTTTAAATTAGCATTTAAAATTTTAAAAATAATTCCAAGGGACAAAGAATCTACTTTTCCCATATTCCTGCCAAGGTAACATCTTAGGTGATCTCTTCCTCTCATTATTGGCTAGTAGTACCATATCTTCATTCCTCTTTGATACACTGAAAAGAATGACTGACCATATGATGTTTTCTCATGCCTTTGTGAATTTAGCACATTCCTCATTCTTAAGGCTTCCTATGGAGGACAATTAAAATGTGTCCTTAGAACTAAACCCTTCTGCTATTCCTTCACCCTAACGCAGGAATAAAGCCAAATATTTTACTCACAGATTAAAATGCCATTTTGCTATATAGACATCAAGGCTAATTGGTCCATTTTCTAAATTAGTAAAGCAGACATTTAATAGCTTCTGGCAAATAATAATTTTTATAAGAAAATTAAATAATAATATTTATCCAAATTATCATACATGCATGTGCTCAGAAACAAAAAGAAATACAAATCAATATAACCTGCCTTGCTTTTTTAATTTTTGTTTTTGTCAAAATGTGCAAATATTTGAATTATGTGTTGTGTGTAGAAATAAATCATTCTCAAATTTTGTGTACTGGAATCATAAATCATTTTGCTATATAAGTTATAAATGCAATCAATGTATTGTAAGAGACCAGACTGAAAAGGGGAAAAGCAGGTCATGGAGAATTAGTAAAATTAAAATGTGTCATTGTGGATTAGATTTGATTTATCAAATTGATCTCAGTATTAATCTCAACATTTAGGTCATATTTTGGAACAAGTATTATTGATCTACTCCCTTTGTCACATCAGAGAACTGAATCCTTAAACAATTTCCAGCATTTGGCTTTATTGCCAACAGTGGGGCTTCAGTAACCTTTAAGTGTATTTTTAACCTTAACATTGTTCCCAGTGATTGTACATAAACCCTGCAATTCTCTAGTCTGAGAATCTTAACAAATGTACTGTCAGGAAACCTGGAAATCCCTTTGGGGAAATCCCTACATTTCTCAGAAAGGAGAAATGAAAAGTATAGTTAAATATGAATACTATTTTTTTAGAAACATTATTTTTCTTTCTTTGACAATTTTTAGCTTGGAAAAGAGAGTGTCTTCTTCCATGAAAGACAATGTTATGGAATAATTCATTTTGAACGTCTTAAAAACATGTATGCACTAAATTGATTAAGCAGTATTTGAAGAACAAGACCTATAGGCCCTGACCTTTGTAAGAGTGCCAATTATGGTCATCTCAGATAAGCCTTGGACTTATTAGTCCTAGATGACTAGGTTCATATGATTTTATGACAACTTTTATGCAAGAATTATACCTGTGTTTCAAAGAACTACAATTGAAAAAGTGTTTGGACACAAACTATTGTGTTGAAGTTCAAATAATTTTAATGTCTCTGAAAGATCTCTGTGTAACTCTAAAATACTGGCTTCTCTTCTGAATAAACCAGGATGGAAGAGTGGTACGATGTGGGTGAAGGTGTCATTCTTGATATTTGAAGATGGAAACTTCTGGACAGGGAACAAGGAGTCCTCTGTTCTAGACTCAGTGTGGTAGCAGAACTCTATGAAGATGTTCAAGAGTGTTGCTCCCTTGTTAGGGGTCACTATTTGTTAGAACACAAAGTAGCAGACAACATGTGATTTGCTTCCTCCCCAGGCCAGATGCAAAATCTCTAAGTCATCTTGAAGTGAGAGACACCAGAATGTGAGAGATAATGTATAACAGACTAGGAAGAGTAAGATGTATCTTTTGAATGATACAAAACAGGATATTTGAATACATTGCTTTAACTGAAGAATGAAGAAAAATAATGTGAAGAAAAGAACAACAATATTGGGGCTACCAGAGAAGCCACTCAGTTAAGGGTAACTATGACTGTTAAATTATTTTCTTATCTGATCCTTTAATATTTGCACTGTCATGTTCCACAGCATTTGCTGACATGTACAGTCTCTAACGACATGTATAGTCTCTAATCAATGTCCATTCTGTGTGCGGTGACCAGGGATAATCAGAAAACTCAGCACACGTACATGAACAGTCACCTTTCACCACTAACATAGACTTTTATCAAAATACCCTTAAAACTAAGAAACACAAAATCATCACCTGCTGTAAGACAAGGAAGAACTTTAAAAGTGAAATAACACTAATAAAAGCCAACTGGTTGTGAGTTTATACGAATTTTTATTTCACCTAAACAACTCATTTCACCCAAATCACTCAATTCTGTAAAGTTTTCCAAAAATTCCAGAAATTCTACAAGGGACAAAAACATAAATAACCTGAATTGCTAAAGCCTAGTAACTAAATATCAAAACAAAGCAGAAAACAACACAAAAACCTCAGTTGACAGGGACCAGGGGATAGGAGAAATGAGATATTGGTGAAAGAGTACAAATTTGATTATGAGTAAGATCTGGCGCACTAGTATATGTCATGATGTCTGTGGCTGGCAGTGATGCATTGTGTATTTAAATCTACTAAGATAGTAGACCTGAGGGGTTTTCACAACACAATAAAAATGGTAACTGGTGAGGTGATAGTTGTACTACCT